TGAGCCTCTTAGTACAATGAAATTCTATTTATGTGTCCTTTTCATGTCCTTTTCTGTGAACATGGTGCTCGTATACTTTGTCCATTTTTTTTTTTTTGAGACAAGTTCTCTGTCACCCATGTTAGAGTGCCATGGTCCAATCATAGTTCACTGTAACCCCAAATACCTAGGTTCAAGTAATCCTTCCACCTTGGCCTCCCACGTAGCTGGGACTACAGGCATGTACCACCCTTCCCAGCTAATATTTTTTTTAGCTGGAGACGGGTCTCGCTTCATTGCCCAGGCTGGTCTTGAACCCCTGGCCTCGATACCAGCTTCTAGGGTTGCCGTAAACATGAAAGGGTGAACTATGGAATGTTTTATATACTCAGAAAATGTTGAGAGTGCTCACCCCTTCCCTCTGGAGTACAAAGTCTCTCCGCACCAGGATGAGAATCTCTTACTTAGTGCAAAAATCAATGAAAGGAGGCTTAAGATGAACGTATTTAATTTTGTCAGTAAGACACACAGGAGAAACGTTTCAGTAATTTCTGCAGTCGTGCCCTTGATAACAGTTCTCTCTCAGCAAAAACATGGAAATGAGAGTGTTGTAACGACTGGCGCTTTAGGGCCTGCCCTTCTGTCGTTCCAGATGTCGGTGCAGATCTCTTGGCCATGTGCCAGCGGAACATTACCCTCAACAGCCACCTGGTTGCCACTGCAGGTGAGGCCCGGCAGGTCTTCTGTTTGGCAGGTGGGACAGACACCAAGACTGTGACACTGGAAGGCAGGTTCCACCTGCTTCCCTTTGCACCAGGTGAACGGAGGGAGCATAGCGACTCCATCCTGGAATCACGTCCTCCTTCCCACACCCGCCGCCATATCCCACTTCAGCTCCTGTTTCCTGCACGTTGGCAGCAGCCCCCAGCCTGTCTTCCCCACTCCTGTTTGGCCAGCCCAAGCTGTCCTCCATGCAGCATCCAGGGTGACCTTCTAAGATGCAAGCCTGACCCCTTCCCTCCCCACTGAAAACCTTCCAGGGGCTCCATCGCCTATGGGATGAAGTTGGGACTCTTCCTTGAATTCCCAAACCTCCCTGGTTTGGCCCCTGCCTGTTTTCCTGCCTCCTCTCCTGACAGTCCTGATGTCCAGCCTGTGTCCAGTGAGCCAAGGACTCATGTCACAGGCAGACATCCCCCCACCTGCACCTACCTGATCATCTCGTCCCCTCACGGCCAGCAGGGATGAGTGGATACTATGGGCAATGGCAGCCGTGTCCTGACGGGCCGTCTTTCCAGCCCTTTCTCCTCTGAACAGCCCCATGGGCTTCAGGCCCTCCAGAAGTTTCTGGTTGCTCATCCTGTCCCTTGTTCTGTGAGGTCTGGCCCTGTCTGCCTTCAGCCGCCTCTGCACGCATGGCCCGGTCTCCTTTGAGGCCCCTTCCCCTGGCGCCTTTCTCTTGCTGTCCCCCTGCCTGAGTGCTCTCTCCTCCCAGCAAGTCCTTGTCACTCTCAGGTCTCCAGAGTTCAGAGTCCAGTCCTCGAACAGAGTCCAGTGACACCTTGAGCCATCACATTTTAACATCTGCTTTTGTTGACTGGCGTTTTCCATCCCCACTGGACTATAGACTCGGTGGGCCCTGTCTGTGTTCATCACCGTGGCAGTGTTTGTTGACTGCCCCATGTGCAGCAGGCAGTGGAACAGAGACTGGAAGGGAGGAACAGGCCTGCTGCCGCAGCCTTTGCTGTCACCCCTGGTCTCACACAGGAACTCCCTTCTCTCCTCCCAGTGTTTGGCTCGTCCTCCTGGCCACACGGGCTTGTTGTTGTTTGTTAACCTGCCCATCTCCCCTAGGGTGGCTGGTCCCCAAGAAGGGGGACCATGACTCTTAAATCTTTGTGTTCCCTGTGCCTGGCACAGTCACTGACACTCAGCACTCAGAAAATGCCAGAAGGGGCAGGCACAGTGTCTTACGCCTGTCACCCCAACACTTTGGGAGGCCAAGGCGGGAGGATCACTTGAGTCCAGGAGTTCAAGACCAGCCTGGGCAATAACGAGACCCTGTCTCTACAAAAATTTAGAAAAAAAATGCTGAGAAGATTGATGGATGAATGGAGGGGAGGGATGGAAGGTGGGGGATGGGCGGGAATGAGGGAGGGAGGACAAGAAGGGTGGGTAGAGGACGGATGGAAGGAAGGGTGGATGGATGGGAGGCTGGAGGGGTGGGTGGAAGGATGGATAGATAAGAGGGAGGATAGATGAATGGATCTTGGTGTATCTTTTTTCCTACTTATGTTTAGAGTTAGGGGTTGTGTTTATGTTTGTTTTTACAGGTGGTATAATAAAGGTCAAGGAACTGGACTGGCTGAAGGATGACTTTTGCACAGGTGTGTGTTTCCCTTTGATGTCCGGTTTGATTCAGTGGTTCCTCTGTCATTCCTCAAGGCCATCAGCTCTGTAGCCTTGATTGAGTGGCGGAGTCCCAGCTGTTGCCACAATCCCACAGCTCGTGGCAAGTTCCCTCTGTTGGCCAATGAGCATCGCTGTCCTTCTCTGAGCACCTGCTGTGTGCCGGGCCCCTCACGTTTATTTCGTTACAGACCTCACAGTATCACTGTGTAGTGGGCATGACAGTCCCTGAGTTATGAGTTCAGACCGGCACACACAGAGGTTAAGTGCCTGCCCAGGGGCACACAGCTGATACGCGGCAGGGCCAGGGTGTCAGACTCAGGGGCACAGACCATTTCCCAGCAAGCAGTGGTGCCGGGAAGTCCTATGGATGGGAGAATTTCCCAGATTTCTTACGCACACTGCTTCAGACCTGGGTGCTTGCTCCAACATGGCAGAAGGGCCTCTTTTCCCTGTCAGATGTCGGACTGATGGGTGAGGAGAGTCATTCCCTGAGTACCTGTTACCTGCTGTGCACTTTGCATCCTATGAGTCCTTTGACCTTCTTAACAGTCCTTGAAGGAGGTATTATTATGCCTCTTTCTACAAACGTGAAAACTGAAACCAAGAGAAGTGAAGCAACTTTCCTGGGGCAGCGGCGAGGCCAAAATCTGCCCTCCCCTCACTGGCCAGGGCAGGCACCTGGCGGAAAGGGCTCCTCCTACGCTGTGCGTGTGCACAGGCAGCGGCGAGCCTGCAGCTGGGGCGCTGGGAGGCACGTCTGCCTGGCGGTACCCACTGCACCAAGCTTCCCCCAACCCTGTTTCTTCGCCTAAAGCTTCCTTCAGTGAGAGCTGGTGGCCAGCAGAGAAAGAAATGAGCACAGAACGTCCTTTCCTTTCTTCTTTCGTAGATCCCGAGGTCCCCTTCAGTTGGTCAGAAGAGGAAATCTCTGACTTGTACGATCACACCACCATACTGTTTGCAGCCGAAGGTAAGAAAATGCTCCTTCATTGTACATGTCCTTTGTCATTACCTGCGGTCCCGTGCAGTGTCCCCTCACCTCCACTGAGTTCTCTGCACTTCGGAAGCACCTTCCCGGAGGTTCTGCCCCATCTCCGTGCAGGTTTAATCCTGAGGCCTGTCGCTGCTCAAAGTTGATAAGGGTTCCCTCCGTAGTGTCCGCGGGGGTCCCTGGGAGAAGCAGCTCTCTGATACTCGCGCGTTTTCCCCGTGCCTTTTCTCCCTGCAGTGTTTTACGACGACGACTTGACCGATGCTGTGTTCAGAACTCTCTCCCGACTCGCCCACAGATTCAAGAACGCCTGCACGGCCATCCTGTCGGTGGAGAAGAGGTGAGCTCTGCTCCCCGGGACCGTGCTGGCGCCCCGGGTATCAGCCACACTCTCACCTTCCGAATGCGCCCTTGTCCGTGTGCCCTCACTACTCACTACCGTTTATCGAGCACCTACCCTGTGCCAGGCCTGTGCTAGTCCCTGCATACATCACCTCGTTTAATCCGCGTACTAAGCTGGTGGGCAGGTGCTGCCGTCCCAGTTTTACAGAAGGGGCAGGAAGGCTGAGGGACGTCGGGGGCGTATCCAGGGCACAGCCGTTAGGGGTAGTCACGGACGTGGATGCCAGCTGCATCCCAGAGCCTCGACGCTTGGCCACCACTCTCCATCGAGAGCCTCTCTTTCTGAACATTCTCTCCGGGGGCATCTGTCCCTGCCGCTCCGCCAGGTTCTTCCCTCTCGCTGCTGCACACGGAGCTTGTGCTCATTTCTGCTCACCCGACAGCCCCTCCTGGATGTTTCCGCTCAAGCATCCAAAACCGTTAGATGGCTGCTTTTGTTGAGTGTCCACGTTGTGGCAGCTACAGTGCTAGGCACTTCGCACACGTTCCCCCTAATACTTACGACAGTCCACAACTTCCCTGAAGGCAGTTTGGAATATGCAGCCAAAGCTGTAAAACCAAGTGTATTTCACGACCCAGCAATTCAACATCCAGAAATTCACCCTGTGGGAGCGCTCCTGGCGCGCTCAGAGCTGCGTACTCGCGGGTTTGTTGCAGCATTGTTTGTGCCAGTGATGCAGAGGTCTTCTTCCGCACACATCGACCAGTGGCAACACATGGGCCTCACTGGGATCCTGGTTTTATAGACTGTAAAGGAAAAAAATCGGGACAGTCAGGAAAAGTTGAACTCTGACTATTTGATGTTAAAGAATTATTGTTAAATTTGTTTTAGTTGAAAAGAGTATCTCTTTTAGATACGCACTGACATATTTACAGAGGAAATGCTATGGTGCCTGGCAATGGCTTTTTAATAATTCAGTGGGGTGGTGGACAGGGGCGGAAGCCAGTGGCGGCTTCATCATACTGTTCCCACTCCTTTTGCATG